TTCTGATTGCAGCAAAGTTCTTAATAGTTCTCAGAGGGTTTTCATTCCTGGTCTTTTAAAATCAACTCATGGCCTTGCCTGTTTGAATGGCATTTGTTTCTAGTTTTCCTCTAAATGTATAAAACATTCTTTTAAAAAATGTCTATTTCCATCATCTTTGTCTCAATCCTAGAGAACAGAGTCATATACCAGCTGGTAGTAGGAGAAACGTCTCCCCTTTCTGGTGAAGCAGAAACAGATGTTGGGCTTCCAGCGCAGGTAGGAGGAAAATTTCCTGTGCCCTGAAAAGTGCACATGTGATTAAGACAAGAAGCATTCAGTCCATCCCCCCCAAAATTCAACCACTGTTTCAGTGTGAGTTCCTTTCCTCCCCAGGAGGCTCACCTGTCTTGTCCTTCCATTGACTGGCTGACTTTCAATAAAAGGTTAGAGCTGGAGCAGCTCTGGAGGATGTAAGGCAGAACTGGAGATGATGAGTCCAGAACAAGTTTGTGATTCAGGCATTCAATTTGTTATTCAGGCATTCAGAGGCACTGAAACCTGTGGAGTTGCAGTGAATTTACAACCTTTGGGACCAAGGTGGTGTCAAGAGGATGGAGAAAGAAATCTTTCCTGTTACTCTTTCAAATTCTGTAGCCAGCCAGAAAAAGTTTATGAATTTCACTGCTTCAGGGGTTTCTGAGACAACTTGATTTTTCCCAGCATTTTATTAGTAAGAAACTTTTCTCTTTCAGGGTCCCATATCCTTCAAGGAGTTGTCTGTCTGTTTTACCAAGGAGGAATGGGACCTGCTGGATCCCAAACAGAAAGCTCTGCATGAGGAAGTCATGCTGGAGACATCTTGGAATGTAGCTTCTCTATGTAAGAACTCCTCTTTGCCTTCTGTCCAAATATGGTGTTTTTTAGTTGGAAGCAATCTGTTTAGCTGTTTCTTCCAAAGAATTCTCTACCTGAGACACCAGCCTAGCCATTTGATTCTGTGAGCTGAAATCCAGAGTGAGCTTCAGATAAGCAACCTGTGCAAAGTGCTACCTGTTATATTAGCTACTGACCTATAGGAGGAGCTAGGCAACCAGCTGCATCCTTATTGACTCTTCATGTATAGGTAGGTATCTTCCATACTACATGTTCTATATTCAGCCCTTTGAACACATAGCCTTGAACTTGATGACCATATTTTGCATTTAGCGTTAGACCTGCCTTGGCCAGGTGGCCAGTAGCTTTCAGGAATTGAGGTCTTACAGAAGCTTAAGCAGGTACGCGTTCCTTTTTTCTATATGCTTTCATACTTGAGAGTGTTGTGATTTTTATTGTTCTGGGTCTCAGGCCATAGTAGCTCTAAAGCTAAATGCACTGTATGATCAAGTGTAAGGTGTGTTGTGTAGTGCATCCTACTGGTCAGTAGCTATAACAACATTCAAAGCTATATACATCTTAAGGAGAGGCAATCTTGAGGTTCCTAGCATGTGGTGCAGAAGCATAGCTTTTATAAAGTGCTATCTTTCCCTCCACCAGAGCCAAATACAACATCTACCTTAATAGGATTTAATTATGAAATGGATTTTGGAATCTTAGGAGATTTCTCCAAGAAATTGCCAGTCCAGCACGGGGGAAATTCAAATTTCATGTTTGGACCATTTGAATTTTTTAAAAAAATTCAATAGATAATGGCCCCAATAGAAATGTGTGATATGATCATCTTATAATCCTGGAAACTGATTTGTTCTGAAGACCTTAAACAGAATATTATAAAGGATAGAATCCAGGAAAAAGAAGCCAAACTAATTAGGGGAATGGAGAATTTGCTCTACTGGGAAAGATGACAGTAATTTGGATTATTTAACCTGGAGCAAAGGGACATATGATGAGGGATATAAAATCATGCACTGCATAGAACATATAAATAAAAAGTCGCTTGCTCACTCACAGTATTACAGCTCAGGTTCCTCTATTAAAGTTATTTGTTTGATTGATTGATGACCATATACATAGATTTTTTCCATGACAATCTGTTCTTTCGGGTCTTTCAATGGTACACTCATCGCCATCGTAACTAAATCCATCCACCTTATTGATGGGTGTCCTCTTCTTCACATTCCTTCCACTTTCCAAGCATTAGAGCCTTTTTCAGAGAGCTAGATCTTCGCATAATATATCCAAAGTAGGATAATTTGAGCATGGCCATTTGTGCCTCAAGTTGATTTGTTCGATGATCCATTTGCTTGATATCTTGGTTGTCCATGGTATTCTCAGGAGTCTTCTCCAAATGTGAGATACTAAGGAGCAAAAAAGGGAATTACTACTTCACCAATGTATAGCAAAGCTGGAATTTTCTGCCACTGTTCTTTCTCTCTCAAGCAGGCAATGAACAGAAGAATGAGATTTACCAGGAACCGGGGGTAACACCATTACAGGTTTTTAAAGTTGAAGTGAGAGAAGACACCTTTCCAAATCAATGGCAACCAAAAAGTGAAGACGGAATCCAGTTAAATGATCAACAGAAAATAAATCCTCCTCCGTTATGTCTGGAAATCTATGATTTGCTAACCCAAGAAGATCTTAATGGAGAGAGGATGGGACAGTGTTTAGGCTGTGATGAAATACTTGAAGAACAATCAAACCTCAGTAACTCATGTGAATGGAGACAGGAAAGAAACTGGTATAATCAGAGCTCCCCTCATTGGAGAGATGAGATGGGGGGAAAAGCATTTGAATGTAAAGACTATGGAAACAACTTCAACTATACCAGTAAACCTATTTCCCATAAAAAGAACCACACTGGAGAGAATTCATATAAATGTATAGTGTGTGGAAGGAGTTTCACGAGGAATGATAAACTGATCGCCCATATTAGAATTCACACAGGGGAGAAACCATATAGATGCACGGAGTGTGGAAAGAGCTTCACAAGGAACGATAAACTGATAGCCCATATTAGAATTCACACAGGGGAGAAACCATATAAATGCATGGAGTGTGGAAAGAGCTTCACAAGGAACGATAAACTTATCAACCATATAAGAATTCACACAGGGGAGAAACCATATAAATGCATGGAGTGTGGAAAGAGATTCACAAAGAGCACAGATCTTACTTCCCATAAAAGGATCCACACAAAAGAGAAACCATATAAATGCACAGAGTGTGGAAAGAGCTACAGTCATTCTAGTAATCTGAGTACCCATAAGAGTATCCACAAAAAGGAAAAACCACATAAATGCATGGAGTGTGGAAAGAGCTTCATAAGGAGCACAGATCTTACTTCTCATAAAAGGATCCATACAGGAGAGAAACCACATCAATGTATGGAGTGTGGAAGAAGCTTTACTCACTACAATACCCTTACTTCCCATAAAACCATCCATACAGGGGAAAAATCATATACATGCGTGGATTGTGGAAAGAGCTTCAGGACAAACAGTTCTCTAACTTCCCACAAAAGGATCCACACAGGGGAGAAACCATATAAATGCATAGAGTGTGGAAGAAGCTTCCGGACAAGTAGTTATCTTACTTACCATAAAAGAATTCACACAGGAGAAAAACCCTATCAGTGCATGGACTGTGGAAAGAGCTTCAATCTCTCTAGCACGTTTACTTTCCATAAAGCAATCCATACAGGAGAGAAACCCTATCAATGCATGGACTGTGGAAAGAGCTTCAATCACCCCAGTACCCTTACTTCTCACAAAAGGATCCACACAGGAGAGAAACCCTATCAATGCATAGAGTGTGGAAAGAGCTTCAATCACTCCAGCAACCTTGCTTCCCATAAAAGGATCCACACAGGGCAGCGAAAATATAAATGCCTAGCATGTGGAAAGGGTTTTACTCAGAGTTCTCACCTTACTTCCCATAAAAAAATCCACAGTGAGGATTAACTATATAAATGCATAAAATGTGGTAAGAGCTTTCATTTTTGGGATCTGATCACCCATGAAGGATGACACATGGAAAATTAACTGGAGTGCTTCAGTGAGAACATTCATCTTAATTGACCTCAAAAGGAGGTATCTGCATATATCCCAAAATTGCTTCTAATTTTTCTTATCTGAGATCACACCTGGCCTTTGAGGGTGAGCAGTGTCCTACCTTTCAAACATAACACTGGTTGTGTTCAGGAGGAAGTCTAAATTTGATTTTTAAGCAATATGAAGATCAACATGTTAAGTATGCATTATACATATACTCCCTTGTATTTTTAATGATTTCTCTTGTGTTAAAAGTTACAGGCTGATAATCAACCTTATAAGGGGCTTTGGGAGCCACACCCAAACTTTCCAAGGGTCGTGTGATTCCTTGGCCTGTGGTTGTGCAGAATTTACTCTGGGCTCTCAGGTGATAGGGTTGACTCTGCTCTTACTTGCATTCCCCCCCCCCCCCCGTCCCCAGGCAAAATGTACAGTGCTACAGAAATAAAGAAAAAATATTTTTTTCTCAATGTTTCATAAAATTAGTTTTAGGAATGATTTCCATTAGTGTTTCCATTAATTTCTATTAATTTGCCTGTACCTGAAAGCCAAACGATGGGTTCCTTAAATAAAAGTGGTTGGCCCATGAACTTACCTCAAAATTATAGAAGAATTTAAAATGTCCAAAGGCCCTGCTTAGCCAATTAGTTGATGCAGATTAAAGATAAAGTTGAGAATGTTTGTTGAATATTCAAAATGTTGTCTTTCTAGACCTGTTGATGATCGATATGTTTTGGAGGAGAATTTATAGAAATGAATGGGATGTGGAAAAACCTTCCAACACTGCAGTGACTTTATTCCATATAAAGCATACTATTTAGAAATAAGGTACGGAAAGAGGCCGACTTCAAATCTTACTCAGTATGACACGAATCAGAGGTCAAGACCCAAAAATGTATGGAATGAAGGAAAAGCTGCAGCAGTAGAATTCCTTAATATGCATGAAATCTCAAGGCCTTTGTAACGTCAGAGCCAGATTTCTGCAGTGCAATTCATATACAATTGAAGATGGTCTGCAAACTGCTGTTGACACAGAAGATGGGTGCCTGATTATTAAGTAGATTATGTGCCAGTGTTGACTCTTAACAACCACATAGATAGATGTTCTCCATGATAAACTGTCCCTAACCTGGTCTTTCAGATTTTCCCTGATTATTAAATGAGACCACCTAATACTGATTCTGAGGCCACCAGATTTAATTAAGTTGTAGATATTCATCTAAAAAAACCTACCTGGCTTAGAAGTCAAGTCCTAAAAAAAGGTGGTCTTGCTCCATATCATTCAGCATCTGCAGGAAGATCAGCAGATTGGTTGGACTCCTGCAGTGGCCAAGGTATTCCCCAGAAGAAAGTGCAGCTTATTTTTAGATAATAAGGGCACATCTATTTGCCCAACATTTGTAGAATAAGCTGCCCCATGATCAGCCTCTCTTACTTTTCTTCTCCAACAAGAGCTCTGATTTGATTTTTGTACTAAACATTGTGGAGAGTTGGTTTTGTTGTAATATTTTTTTCAGATAGCCTTTTTTTTTTTTTTGGTTAATGGCATTAGTACTGTAGTACAGTATCTATAAATGAATGACATCCTTGAAGCATTAGTTTCAAACTGATCTTGGTAGGTTAGAGAAATAGGCTGAAAATAACAAAATGAGACCATGCAAAGTTCTTCACTTAGGAAAAGGAAACCAAATATACAGATATAAAATGGGGATATCTGGTTTAGCAGTAGTAATTCGGAACCGAAGCATGAAACTTAGGCAATTTGAGCAGTGATTATGAATCAGGGTGTGATGGAGTATTAAAAAGGGAAATGTGGTTTCTCTTCTTTTTGACAAAGTGATTCATTAACTGCTATATTTAAATAGTTTGAACTTTTTGTTGTTTATAATATGTTTTTGGCACATTCAATGAATATATAATTTATATAAAACATTAGCATTTTTTCATAGAAGTCCAAATTGATTTTATGTTTTCATATGGGGCTGGCTCTTTATTTTGTAGACTTGTTTGATTTATATGGTTGTCCTACTCAGCATATAATTTAGGATGGCATCTTGAATATTGATCACTCTTCATAAATACTTTGAGGCAAATTTAGATGAGAGAGAAAAGCACAACTTTTTTTTAATTAACATAAATGCTGGAAATTAAACCTTTTCCCCTGCTTTTCTTAAAACATCTCCAGATTTTCTCTTTTCCCTCTCAGAGATGTAATTGTTCACCAACGGTGGAAATCTGCAGGAGAACATTGAATGTTTGAGACTAGTATGACAGAACAGTTCTAGGGTTCTGTTAGGATCAGGAACACCCAGATTTTAACACAGACTCACCTCCTTGATTATCGTTGCCCAAGACCCACTCTGGGTCTTGCAGCTTCTAAAGCAGGTCCACACAACTTGCAGAGGGAAAAGGGCCAGCCTAAAAATAATCGCAGGTCACAAAGGAATATCTGGCACACCAATCAGCTGTGTGACAGCAGTAAAGGAGCTGACGGTGTCTGTAAGGCCTGGAGGTGTTGCTCAGCAGTGTATCTTTTGGGGAGGAAGTAGCTGCAGAAACCTAGGTGGTGGATCCTTCCTGGTGGCAGCAACATTGGATTGGTTATTTTTCAGAAAAATGTCGGTGGACCACATATTGTACAGGCCTATCCTAAAGGCTCAACAAGCTGGGAAGATATTTTTGAGTGAAGGCCACGTTCAATCTTATGTTTTTTTGTGGGTTGCAGTCAGAGGAGGGAAAAGGAATGTGCAAAAAAAAAAAAAAGTGAAGAGATGGGAACAGAGCAGAAAAAGTGGTGGTGTGGGGAATCAACATTACAGTGTAATAAATTAATAAGTAAAATAATGGTTCTCTTGCAGTGGTCAACCCAGTGCTTCTAAGAAGTCTAGGAGCTGTAACAAAGAGGACTGCACATACTCATGGATCTCTCTTTCACCATTGGTTGAATATAAACTTTCCCAAACAAGCTCTTATTTTACACAATATTTTCTTCATACGGAACACATGCAAATATGTGATTTAACACTAGCAAATAAGCAGGAGGTTGTGGGGGCGAAGAGAGATGAAACTATAGAGTGCTATCTCACTGGGAAGTAATGTATTTCTGTTTATTTGTTTTATATCTTTTTTTTAATAGTTATTTGCTGTTTTATTTCCTTGCACATGTTTTTCTTTCTTTTAAGTATAGATTCTATATATATGTAATACAGTGCTATCTGAATATTAATTTGAGGTTCTATGTGAGCAATATTAGAAAACATGATAAATATTCAAACGTAAAAAAGTTCATTATTAGATATTTGTTAAATGGTACAGGTTATAAAATGAATTGGTATTGGTTGATAAGTGGGCCAAAATAAAATTAATGAAGTTAGCTAGTCTTAATGTAAAAGGGCTGACAATCTAAGAAACACAATGTAATCTTAACATATTTAAAATCATTAAGGGCAGATATTGCTTATCTACAAGAGACTCATCTAACAAAACAGGATAAATCTATATTAATGAATGATTGGGTGAGACAGGTTTACCTCACAGATACTTGGACAGAAGCTAAAGGTGTGGCCATATTGGTTCAAAAAGGCTTTCCAATTGATGTACAACAGGTTATTTATGTAAATGGACATTATTTAATTTTATGTGCTAAAATAGCAGGGACCGTAATAGCTATGGTTAATGTTTATGGACCTAATTTAGATTCTCCTGTTATGTTTTATGAATGTTTAGGGCATTACTAACAAAACTGGATGGATAACTACATGTGAAGATTGCCTCCTGGCTGCTAGATAGTAACGCCTTTGTTCATTTGAGAGCCAGTTTGGTGGTGTGGGTAAGTCATCAGGCTAGAAACCAGGTGACCATGAATTCTAGTGCTGCCTAGGCACAAAGTCAGCTGGGTGACCTTGGGCCAATCATTTTCTCCCAGCCCTAGAAAGGAGGCAGTGGCAAACCGCTTCTGAAAAACCTTACCAAGAAAACTGCAGGAACTTGTCCAGGCAGTCTCCACAATTAAACGGATAAAAAATACATATTTATGTTTTATGAATATTTTTGACATTAGAATGAATGCATTTATGATAAGGTGGTAATAGGAGATTTTAATGAAATATTGGATCCTGAGCTTGATAGAAATACACCGGCACAAAAAAAAAATCATTAGGGAAGGAAACAATTAAGATTTATATAGAAGAATTGAATTTAATAGACCCTTGGCGTTTGATGTATCCAACTAAAAAAGAATACACATTTTATTGAAGTATGCACCAGAATTTTTTAGGCTTTATTATTTTTTAATATCACCAACTTTATATCACCAAATTCAAGAATGTAATATCGATGTTTGTTATATATCAGACCATAATGCAATTGTGCGTTTTAGAAACTGGTCAAGGTATCAAGAAATTGGTATTTCAGTGTCTCCTTATTAAATGATAAAGAATTTGTACCACATATGCACAAAGGGCAAAGAGACCTTGCAGTACTTTTATTTGAATTCAGAAACATCAAGTGCCCGGATTTTTGAATGGGAAGCATATAAATCATATATCTGAGGTTGAATTATTGCTTATGCATTATACAAAAATAAGATTAAAAATAAAACAGAAAATAACTTGAAAGATGAATTGAAACGTTTATGGGCACATGCCCATCTACACTGTATAGAGAAATAGAGAAGAAGAAATATGAACTAAATACTATAATATCACAGCAGACAGAATTCATGCTAACATGTTTATGACAGATACTGGGAGCATGGGAAAAGACCTGGTAAGGTTTTGGCTAATTGCTTAAAGCAAAAGAAAGATAGGGCAATGATTCCAAATATTAGAGGTGAAAGAGATGAAATATATAAAACTTCAAAGGATATAAATTGTCTATTTTTCAAATTCTATTCAGAATTATATAGCAAATCAGAGAATGTATTGATAATATTAAATATCTTTTAAATAATATTAACCTAACACATTTAAATGATACACAAAAACAATTTTTGTTTGCTCCAGTATCTAAGGTGGAGATCAAATAATTTTTAAAATGGCAAGTGGTAAAACATCAGGATTGGATGGATTTCCTATAGAGATTATATTTATAGAACTTTTGGTGCCAAAACTTTGTCAATTTCATGATATATTTGATAAGGGAATATTATCAGAGACATTTAATCAGGCCTATGTTACACTTATACCAAAATTGGGTAAACATCATACTTAGTGTGCTAATTATCAATCTTATTAATGTTGATACAAAGATCTTAACAGCAGTGCCAGCAAATACAGCAAGCGATACCATTCATTATTAAGAACGATCAAGCAGGGTTTATAAAAACTAGGCAAGCAGCTGACATTACGTTAGTTGTAGATTTAATAGACTTGAATAAAAATAAAGACTAGTTTGTAATTTCATCATTAGATGCTGAAAAGCCTTTGACAAAATATATAGTACATGTTTGCTGTACTAAACAGGTTTGGATTTCCTTTGAAATTCATAAATGAAAGCAACTTTTGGAAGATTATCTTCTGCTACAGTCTGTCCAAACTAGAAGGAAAATAGGAGATTCTCCACAGAGATTGGAAAGAACAGTGAAAGATCTCTCCCACAAAACTGCAGCTCCAACAATCTGGCATTCACCTTGGGAAGTTTCCTCCTCCTCCTTGCTTAGCAAATTAGAGTAGGGCCAGGCAGGAACGCAGAGAGGTGGTCTTAATCCACCTGGAGGTCTCATGAACAGCATTTTTTAAAATAATTATTAAATTTTAAAATAGATACAAACTAACAACTAATCAAGAAAAAGAAAAGAACAAGTGCAGAAAGATAAATGAAAAAAGTGAATAAATTAAACAGCTACCTATTTAGAAAACTTTGCAAGGAAATTTTTAAAATCTATGGAGAATAACTTATGGTCCAGTGTCCTAGGGCCCAGTTATGAGACAAAAGCTCACCATCTTTAGCTGATCTCTAAGAGCTGTTTGGTTGGACATAATTATCCCTAGGAAATAGGTCTGCAGGTTAGACTTCAGTGTAGAATAAAAAGAAGCAGCAATTAAAAAAAAAACATTCCCACTTTGTTCCCAAGAAAACAATATGGGTGTGCTCAAGAAGGAGAGGAGACTTCAATATTCTCAGAGATAAAAAGGACAAATCAAAAGGTACTGATAACATCTAGTATTGTTGGAGAAAGAAAAGAAAAAGAAAAACTAAAGGTGCAAGAGTTGGACATACTTGCCTTGTCCCTAAAAAAATCTGAAGTATGTCCTAGGTTCATATATTAGACTAAACCAACATGACAATGGACACCATCATTCATATAAAAGGCCTATTTTCTAGTTATCACCGTCTGTCTTTAGAAGGTCAGGAATATACACATATGCACGCACACGCACACATTTATTACAGCCATAAGGCCAGATATGGTGGGGAATATAACATTCAGCTTATCACTCCTCATTTGCGTCCTCCTTTTGATCATGGCCATACAAGATGATGCAGCAGTAGGATTTGAATGCAAAATGCTTTCATAATTCTCATAGCAGTCACAAAAGTAGTGACTGCTACTACTAAAAGGATCTATATAAGAAAAATCATAGGAAATTGTGGAAAGTTAATGAACTTTCATTTTATCCTAGTGAACTAATTTTCTATAAAATAAACTACATGGAAAAGAAACGAGTGCGAAAGGGCTTCCATGTGAATGGTTAACTCACTTGATTTCAGAAAAAAGGAACCATATAAATTAGAAATACGTTAACTTCTATTGCTTGGGGTCAGCCTTGGCCTTGATGGAGAGCAAGATGTGCCTGCCAGGTGAGCTGGCAGTGTTACGCTTTCCTAAATTAAGTCTAGAAGACCTGTGCTGTACAATCCAGATGGTAACTAGCAAAGAGATAGTCTGCTGCCATCTTGTGCTATCCATATTTCTACCTCCAGATCTAAAGATATTATCTAACTGCTGCGTTTGTAGTTAGCTTCGAGAGTTGCCTCCTATTTTTCCTTTGCTAGCTCCCTTTTCTGTTGTCTGGGAAGTAATGCTGGACTTAGTTCACAGCAAATTTGTGTTTTCTCCCTCTCTCCTCCATGATGCAAATGTGACTTCCCCTTTATTTCCTCTTGAATTGGAAGGACTGGGAAAAGGGGAATTTCTCAGGAAGAAAGTTAATTACTGGCACTCCATGCTGCTATGCCCAGCAACAAAACTAGTCATCAGATTGCATTGTTCCTACTGATTGAATATTTTCTTCTTAGTCAGTCCTGGCCCTACCATTGGACAGAGGGGACAAATTCAACCCAGGGCATTAGAGACTTTATGTGATGAAAAGGGCTGGCATCGCAAAGTGTATTGACGTTCCTGTTTAAATACAAATACCTCCTTTTTATATAGGTATTATATATATAAAAGGATTTGATGAATGTTTAGTTTTTTCCCCTATTTGACCCATTATTTTTCATAGAAGTTTGGATTGATGTTACGGTTGTTTTTCTAATTCCTTTTGATCCCTTTGTGGCAAATTAAGACAGAGAAATAAAAAGATCATTTTAAATCTACACAAATACTGGAAATTGAGAACTCTTCTGGCATTTCAGCTTTGGTACTAGAATCATAAAATCCTAGGGTGGGAGGCGACTCTAGGGGGCAAAATTTTGCCTACCAGGGCAAAAATCCTCATACCATTCCAGGCAAGTGACTGTCCAGCCCTGGCTTGAGAATCTCCAATCACAGATTACCCACAACTCCAGGAGGGAGGCTGTTCCGCTGGTCAACAGCTCTCATGGTCAAATAGTTCTGTCACCATTGGTCAAAGATAAACTTTTTCTGAACCAGCTCTCTATTCTAAATATTTCAAGTGTCAAAAAAGTAGTGCATTCATCCTGGCTCTTCTTGACCTCTTGGCAGCTTTCAATACCATCGACCATGGTATCCTTTGGGATCGCTGCAGGAGTTGGGAGCGGGGGGCACAGTTTTGTGCTGGTTCATCTCCTTCCTCCAAGGCTGATCCCAAACAGTGTTGATAAAGAGCGAGAGGTCCAGCCCGTGGCCCCTGCTTTGTGTGGGATGCCGCAGGGCTCAGTGCTCTCTCCACTCCTTTTTAACTCTATGTGAAGCTGCTGGGTGAGATCATCCATCACCACAGGGTGAGGTATCATCAGTATGTGGATGATGTATACATCTCCGCTCCGTTATACATCTCCGCCCTAGGTGAATCAAGTGTTGCTGTGGATGTTCTTTCGCAGTACTTGAAGGCTGTGGAGGTCTGGATGGGGAACAACGCGCTTCAGCTAGGTAACGGGACCCTTAACACTTTTGGGACCCCAGGCTTGGGCACATAGCCAGGTTTTTAAAGCCTTATGGAAGGCTAGCAGGATCGGAGCCATCCTGAGCTCCAAAGGAAGAATGTTCCAAAGAGCAGGGGCTGCTGCTGAGAAGGCGCACCTTCTGGTCCCCACCAGCCGACATTGCTTGGCTGACAGGATCTGCAGCACCCCCAATCCTCTCGACCGAATTGGACAGGTAGAAACTATTGGGAGAAGAGAGTCCCTTAGGTAACCCAATTCCAAGCCACGCACGGCTTTAAAGGTGACAACCAGCACCTTGAATTGCACCCAGAAACACACCGGTAACCAATGCAGCTCCCGAAGTAGTGGTGTTACATGCGATGCATATCCAGCACTATTCACTACTCGTGCAGCCACATTTTGCACTAGTTGAAGCTTCTGAATGCTCTTCAAGGGCAGCCCCATGTAGAGCGCATTGCAGTAATCCA